TGCCCAGAGCCTTGAGGACACAGCTGTGACAAGCAGGAAGAGAACTCCCTCCTGAAGTTTCTGTTTTGTGCAGGTGGTGACAGTAAGCAGACAGATGTGACTAGGACCCCAGGTGGGAATGATGCTGTGGAGAAGCAGGAGCTGGGCCACAGGGTGGGGCTGGGAGCTGACTCCTTGAGATGCCCTGGGAAGCTCTCACCAGGATGAGCTTTGGGATAGCTTGGGCGCCCTCCAGCACAGGGATGGTCCGTGCAGAGGCTGCAGTAGAAGCCTGCCCTACTAAGCAGCTGATGAGACCTTGACTGGAGTCAGCAAGGAAGACACGGGTAGGAGGTGAGATTACTGGGTTGCTAGTCAGAGCCGCTGGAAGGGCTGTAAGTGGGAAACTAGGGGATACCAATGATTGCAGGATTTTTTTCCTCTCTTTCTTTTGAACCTGGGATTGAACCCAGAGGTGCTTAACCACTGAGCAACATCCCCAGCCCTTTTTAGTTCGTATTTTAAGACAGGGTCTCACTAAGTTGCTTAGGGCCTCATTAAGTTGCTGAGACTGGCTTTAAACTCATGATTCTCCTCCTCAACCTCTCGAGGGACTGGCATTATAAGCATGCACCACCATGCCCAGCTGATTGCAGGATTTTGAGCATAGATTTTGAGCTGACACAATCTGCTTTTACCAGGATAGCCTTGGCTCCCTGGTTGATCACAGGGCAGGAGGGCAGAGAAGGGAGAGGGTTCGGAGGCTGATGCATCGGCTTGAGAGCTGACGGTGGCTCAGACCATGGCGAGCATGTGGGCAGTTGTGGGCTGAGAGAGGGTGGGGTCTGGGTAGATTTTGCAAATAAATCTCCCAAGCAGGTTTTTAAATTTATCAATGATGAAGTATATTATTATTTTCCTTTGAAATCATTTCTTTGAATTGACTTAACTCTTGTAAATGAGTTATCTTTTGGATCATGCAAGAGTATTTGAATATTGTGTGGAACAAGATACAGTAGACCCGATCCCTGCCTTCTGAGAACTTGAAGACTGGTTTGGGAATCAGGCTGGTAGAAAGGTGCTAAAATCCCATCCACTTGTAAGATGGCAACTGAGAACGTGGTGATCAGGAAAGAAAGAGCTCAAGTGGTCTGATAGCCCAGGTGCCCAGGCCCAGCTCTGGGAGGATGTCTTTATTTCAAAGGCCAGATCTGCACTCCATTTTCATTCAGGTCTTCCAGGACATGAATTAATCTTCTGTTCTCATCAGTGTGACCCTTTATTACTTATTTTTATCTGTATATCCTCAGATTTAGTTTGCAGGGTTAACTAAACACAATGAAGTAATTTTATAAGCAAATAAACTATCATCATGGCAAGATCTGGCTTAATGCAGCCCACGGTGTAAATTGCAGAGCTGGGCAGCTTGGGATATGCCCAGTGTGCCTGTTGACCCCAGTAACAGAAACTTCCCACAGCAGTAGAGCTGCAGGGGATTATTTGTCTTATATAATGTTTGTTAAGCTGTAAGAGCAGTAAGTACTTTCTGATCTTTTTGCCAGTAGCATAAATAAATAAAACTTGAAACATTCTTGGACTTCTCAATGAAGGTCATGTCACTTGATTTTAGAGCTTGGCTGTTTGGACACGAAGGAGCTAATTCTCTCAGAAATAAAGGTAATAAAGAGCCAAATGTTTAATAAAACCCCACCAATTCTGCATCAATTATACCACAGAGGCCAATTGAGCACAACAGTTGGAACAATTGACTCTCAGACCAGTGGCCAGAGCTCAGGTGCCAGCTTGCTTGCTATCTCTGCAGATTTGGGCAAGCTAAAGCTTTTCTTTCTTTTTATGTGCAAACTTCTTAGAACAAAAATTTTATTTATGTATTTTTGCAGTGCTGGGGATGGAACCAAGGGCCTTGTGCATGCCAAGCAAGCACTCTGCCACTGAGTGAAACTCAGATACAAGTGACATGCCAGGCTGCTTGCCAAGTCAGGACTCAATCTCTGACTCTCCCTTTTCTCCCAGCCCCTAAGTGTTCACATGAAAACTTCTGCACCAATCATCTTGTAGAAGTCTGTGAGAGCTGGACCATGGACCACTGTATTCTTTTTTGAGGGGGTGAGTATTGGGGATTGAACTCAGGAGCAGTTGACCAAATAGTCCCTAGCCCTATTTTGTATTTTATTTAGAGACAGAGTCTCACTGATTGCTTAGAGACTCTTTGTTGCTGAGGCTGGCTTTGAACTTGCTATCCTCCTGCCTCAGTCTCCCAAGCTGCTGGGATTACAGGTGTGAGCCACTGTACTCAGTGACTACTGCATTCTTGTTGAGAACTTTCAGCCTCTGGAGATCAACATCATGAGACCACTGGCTT